CCAGAAATCTGTGAGAAGAGTGCTTTAAGAGGTGCAGGGTTCAACTTGTCAAGAACAAATTGCCTACTATTTAGAGCAACACCTCATGGGTTTAAAGCAACCCTCGAAAGGGATCATGCCCATCATGTTTAGGCCATAGCCTTCCAACAACCCATGTCCCTGGAGCAGAGAGAAGGATGGTAGCAAATGAGGTCAAAAGTTGATTGGGGGGTTGAGAAAGGCAGGTTGGGTAGTTAACCTTGATCACCATTCTAAACAAAGTGCAAACTTCCTTTTGGAATGTTTCATCAACAAAGACTGATTAGCTGAGTTTTAGAGTCAAACACACCTGAGTCATACGTGTGTGATACAGAGCAAGTTTTTCAATCTCTTTGAGTATCAGGTTTTTAGCTGTAAAGTGGGACAATAGCTGTACAGTTGTTGTGAGGTTTATAAATAATGTAGGTCAAGTGCCAATGGCAGTGCCCAGCACCCTCTTCTGTGAGCTCCCTAAATGGCAGTGAGCACTGCGATGAACAGAGCTGCCCCTTTTCTCATTCACAACTGTGCTGGGAGGGACTGACTATGGGCTTCCTGACCCAATTGTTGTTCATATTATTTAACTCAGTGCAGTAACTCAGTCTTGCATATCTATCACTGGGTCTGCTGGACTGACTGTAAATCAAATAAGATTCAAGATATGACCTGAACCTTTCATACTCTTTGTGCTGTTTTCAGTCATAAACATTGTTTAGTCTTGTATTAAAGTCAAATGGTTACTTTTAAATTAGTGGTATTTTCATGAAGTAGAGAACCAGCTATTACTTACTTGACTGAGGGAACTTGAAGCTGACAATAACAAGCTAAGGTGACCTAATTGTAGGTGTCTATGTTAAAGAGTGTAATGTGTGATTAACACTGTTGTTTCATTAACTCTAATCCCAATGATGGGCATGTATTGAGACTGAGATTCTCTTCCAACCATCCAGTTCAAGCTTCTTTACTTCCTGCTCACAATCTTGCATCGATTGGTCTTTTATTCCCTCTGTTTGGCACTTTGCATTTCTCTAACCACTACTGAAAACAGCTGCCTAGTTGGTCATGCTAGAGCAATATTCACATCACATTAATTACCGGCTTTAAAATACCCATTTGTGCTGCATTGCAACATAGAATAAGATCTCTCTCTGGAGATTGAAACCTGTTCAAATTAAATGCTATTTCAGATATTCTAATGTGTATTTTGTTTTTTTATTTGTTTGTTTGTTTTAAATACACTGATTGGGACTTCTGGTCAAGATGGCATACTACATAAACACTGGGTTCACCTCCTCCTATAACCACATCCAAATTATAACTAAACTAGAGGCCCTATGCACAAAGATTCACGAATGGGTCTTCCTTCTGGCTGATGGCACTGCCTTTGCTCCATCCAGAGCCACCTTTCTGCCTTTGCTGGGCCTGGAGCTACCTTTCTGCCTTCCCATGCTGCCCAGAGGCCCAGAGCTGCTGGGGTGGTATGGAACACCTGCCCCATCCCCAGCACATTGGCACTTGCATATACAAATTAGCCTGCCATCTTTGTTGAGTTAATTTGTATACTTACTCCTGATTGGCTGGTGGGCATCATGAAGGTACAATAAATTTGCATCTTTCTCTTTTATTAGTGTAGATTATAGAACAACCACTTGAACACTAGCTGAACAGAAGTTCTATAAGTAAGCATATAAAGAAGAAGCAATGTGGAGACAGTTTTGCTCAGTAGTTAAGCATCAACCCATGAATCCAGAGATCATGGTTCAATTCCCAGTCAGGACATATGCCAGGGTTACAGGTTCCATCTCTAGTAGAGGGTATGCAGGAGGAGCCAATCAATTTTTCTCATCATTGATGTTTTCATCCCTCCTTTCCTCTGCCTGAAATCAATAAAAACATTATTTTTAAATGGCAAATGTAAGAAGATCATATATAATTTTAACAGTAAATTAAAGAATTCACAAATACACACACACACAAAAGAAGTAAAAAAATAATGAAATAAATATGGAGGGGGTGAATAAAAGTGGTAGTAATTTTAGAATGATGATCAACTTAAAAGAAACTATTATAGATGTAGCATGGTATATATGAAGTACATGGGAATCAAAAACCAAAAATCTACAAGAGATATACAAGAAATAATGAGAAAGGAATCAAATACAACACTACATGTTCAACATGCAAGAGCAGAGAATCTATAATAATAAAAGCATAATTTGCTAATTAGAGCAGACATTCTTCCAAACATCCTTCAGTCCTTCCAGACAAAGCAAGGGAAGCCAGATCTGGGTGCCAGAAGAAAGCCAGTGCCAGCAGCAGGGGGAAGGAAGGCCTACTCTTGCGCAGATTTCTTGCATTAAGCCTCTAGTAAGCAATAGGGAAGATCTATAAAAACAATCAGAAAACAATTAATAAGCAGTAACTACATACCTATATATTACTTTAAGTGTAAATGAATTAGGCATATCTCTATATAATTATGTATTACCTTAAATATAAATGGATTAAATGTTCCAATTGAAAAAGGATTGGATAAGAAGATATGATACATAGAGACAATAGAATTTTATTCAGTAATAAAAAAGAATGAAATCTCACTATGTACCAACATAAATGGGTATTATGCTAAATGAGATAAGTCAGAGCAAGACAGCTACCATATGATTTCACTTAATGTGGAATCTATAAAACAAAACAAACAAAACAAAAACTAATGCATAGTTAGAATGGATGAACAGATGGTTGCCAGATGGGAAAGGGTTTGGGGAGGCTGGGTGAAAAAGGTGAAGTGTTTAAAAATAAAAATTGGCAGTTACAGAATAGTCACGGGGATGTAAATCACAGCGTAGGGAATATAATCAGTAGTATCTTAATTACTATGTGTGGTGTCAGATGAGTGCAAGACCTACTGGGGGAGTCACTTTGTAAATTATATAAACGTCTAATCACTGTGTTATACACCTGAAATTAATCATAATACTAAAAGCATAATATGCTAATTAGACCTGACAGCTGAATGACCTTCTGGATGTCCTTCCAGATGACCTTCTGGACGAAGCCAAGGCACTAATTTCATGCATCAGACCTCTAGTATAATAATAAATGTCAACTTTAATTGAAAAATTATAAATTATTTTAATAATATTAAATAAATAATGTTATTTATTATTAATAATATCACATATTGATAATATATTATTTAATATCTATAATAATAAAAGCATAATATGCTAATTAGACTAGGCAGCTGAATGACCTTCTGGACAGACATTCTTCCAGATGAAGCCTGGGCTGCTAGGGCCAAGACCCTTACACAAACTTTGTGCATCAGGCCCCAAGTTAATAATTTAATAATATAAACAATGTATTTAATATTATTAAATGACAGTCTCCTTAGAGAAATGGCTGATTCTAAGACCAGGATAGGACACAAATAAGGTAAATCTGGAGAGTTTCATAGGACCAGAAAGTAAGGAAGTGCTCAAGAAAAGGGGCAAAGGAATACACAGAAATCACCTGAAAGAGCTCACAATGGCCAAAGTTGGAATATTTTGAGCAACATATTAAATGAAATAGTGATGTGCCCCTGTGGTGAGGCTCAGTTGGTTGGAACATCCACTGATGGGTCATGGTTTGATTTTCAGTCAGGGCATATATCCAGGTTGTGGGTTCGATTCCCGGGCTGGGAATGTACAGGAGGCAACCAATGGAAAGTCTCATCCAACTTTCCAGTCATGATGATTAAAAGTGTCTCCAGATTTTGTCAAATATCATTAGTGGATAGGACAAATAGTCAGATCACCTCAGCCAGCACCCTGCACTGAGCAACACTGATTGCCCTGTACATTTTAGGACAGGATGGAGCTGCCTTCAGTCCTTTTTTCCTGCCCCCTTCTTTTATCAATTATTTTTTCTTTTCTTTTTTAATTTCTCCACCCCCCACTCCTGCCTTTTAAGTGTTCCCATACAGTTTAAAACACAGTGACTTGTATGTAATGGTTGCTGAGCAAATATGTGATGCATTTCTGCCAACTGAATCCTAAATGCCAAGAATCATAAATTTTATGTCCAATTCTTATCAGAAGAAAAACAGTTTTTTCTAAATGCAGAGCTTGACTTTGGGGAAGATAATTTCTGATTCTTGGTCACTTGGAGTGACGTTTATGTCCCCTGGGAACTGGAGGCCCTGCAAGCAGACAGGCCCACCCAAAGGCTCAGCAAACACACAGTCATGCAGTGCAGGGCGCAGAAGTTGGGGGAGAGGGACAGATGTGATTAGGTGCCAAGGAACTCTGGTGAACGCATGGCTGAGCTACAGCAGCTAGGGAAGCTAATGCTTCAGGCTGTGGTCTGAAGTGCCATTCACCGCATGGACCTGTTTTCCCCAGCGATCATTCCTGTGATTTCTGGAGTGAACCTGCATTTGGGAAATGACTCCCAGTTAGGTTCTGTTAAGCCCCCTTGAGAAAGGGCAGGCAGTGGGAGGGAGAGACAAATGCTGGGCAGCTCTCCCACCTCCACAGGCTCTAATGCCTGGAGAAGCAAGTGCTGGCCATTACAGGAATGCAGAGAATCGCACAGCAGAGTCACACAGGAGTGAGCTCTCATCCTGCCCTGCACTCAAGGCAGGCCCCCTCCTCTGGGGCAGCCCAGGCCTTCACTTCACCAGCCTTTCAGCACATCCACCCAGTCGCCCTCCTCAGGACCCTGCGTGGTGCCTTTGTTGCATTTGAAGTGTACTGATGCAATGTCGTTGTCCTCGCCAAGATCACACAGACCTTGTACATGATTGTGTCTACATGTATCTGTACCTGTTACATGGAGAGGGTGGAAACTGACCCCTAGGAATTGGATCTCAGGGTGCCTATTTCTATCATTTCTCTCCTTTGCATCATTTCCCCAGCCTTCCCCAGGGATCCCCAAGGGCATAAGTGGCCGCTGGAATCCTCTCACCAGGTTCCCTCTTCTTTCTCCCTCGCCAGAAGGAGGGACGTGTGAAGTGATCGCCGCGCACAGATGCTGCAATAAGAACCGCATCGAGGAGCGGTCACAGACGGTGAAGTGCTCCTGCCTGCCTGGGAAGGTGGCTGGCACCACCAGAAACCGGCCCTCCTGTGTGGACGGTAAGTCGCTGGGGTCATCTCTCTCTCTCTCTCTCTCTCTCTCTCTCTCTCTCTCTCTCTCTCTCTCTCTCTTTCTCTCTCTCACCTGGGGTGGGCTCACCAGGCAAAACATATATTTCTCTTTCACCTAAGGACAGTGAACAAGGTGCATCCAGAGTAAATGCCAGCTCTCAGAATAGAGTGTGAATCTTGCTTCTCGGGCTATCACGTTTTAAAATAGCTCTATTTTTAACAATTTTAGAGAAGATATTTGAGAGTCCAGCTCATTTGGGACGTGATTTTGGATTGAGGTTGCATACAATGATGGGGGTGATAATGGTGGTAAAGAAAACAATACCTAACATTCATGTAACACATATTTAGTGAGCATTTACTATATGCTGGGTGCTTCACATACATTCATGATAGAAGTGTGCCAAGCACTGTCCTTAACACTTCTCATGCATTAGTTTATTTGCTATGCAATAAATTACTCTCAAATTTAGCAGCTTTAACATTATCTCAGTTTCTGGGGGTCAAGAATTCACCTTCGCTGGTTGGTTGTGGCTCATGGTTTCTCATGGAGTTGCAGTCACAGCCGCCTGGTACTGGAAGGCGGCTCTAACACGGCTCACTCACCTGGCTGTGGACAGGCCGCCCCAGCTCCTTGCCAGGGGACCTCTCTGTAGAAGGTTGGCATCTGACAACATGGCACCTGGCCTCCCCCAGAGTGTGTGATCTAAGAGAACAATACAGAAGTTGAAATGACCTTTTTCATCACAATCTAAGCTCAAAAGTTTCCATGATAACCTATGGGTTATGCACCTCAGCTCTTGCATTCAGTGTGGAATGGACCAGGGCTTGGAGACCAGGAGACAGGGATTCCTGGGCCAGGTACACTTGCCCTCCATGCAATTCATGAAGAAATTCAGGCTTAGAAGAGTTAGGTAATTTGCAGCGTCTCATGGCTTATTAAGTCATAGCTCAACTAACTCTATTTCTTTTAAATATGTGTTTATTGATTTTAAAGGGGAAAGGAGAGGGGAAGAGAGATAAAAATATACATGATGAGAGAGAATCCTGGATAGGCTGCCTTCTGCACAACTCTCACTGAGAATGGAACCCGAAACCTGGGCATGTATGCTGACTGGAAATGGAACTCCGGGTTCATAGGTCAACCTTTAACCACTGATCACACCAATTGGGCTTAACTAACTCTTGATCTCTGAATAACTGACCTAATAATAATAGGTCTTGAGCACCATATTTAAAGCAATTTTATATGAGCTATCAAACAGTGAGACCAAGGTTCAAAGGGACCACACACTTCTGTTCCCAGCTTCAGCTTTTATAATTTTAGAGCCATGTGTGAGTTGATCTCCAAACTCTTCAGTCAGACAATCAGTCACATGCTCAGGATCACACAGCAGGAATTTGAACTTGACTCTTCTGGCTTAGGGCTCATTTTTCTAACGCCTGATAGAGGTGGTAAAAAACACCTTCCAAATTGGCTCATGTTACATATTTTCATTATGAATCATGATGTAGTTAGTAGGAGAAACATTTCAAACTGGGCCAAGTAAAGATGAAATTATTTTTTAAGAAAATAGAAAATTTCGGGGGGATCCAGTCACAGGAAATTCAGCCAACCCTCAGCTGCATGAAGAATTCAAAAACTCTCCATCTGGTTTGCTTTGTTTCTGATCCCCTTCCTCCATTCTCCTTTGTGTGGACAGGTTCCCTCTTCAAGGATTTTAACTTTTGCCTCCCCATCACTCAAGGACAGTGAGAGGCTCTTATTCCATTGTGCCTACTCAGATCTCCCTCAGTGTCATGGTATATCTCAAATATATTTGACTCAGTTTATGTCTTAAATACATTCTCTAAAACCACTTAATATGATTGGCCCAGTGCAGGTCACATGCCAACCTGTGTCCAATCAGCCAAATGAACAAATTTCTGTGGCATGCACAGTTGCCCATTCTCTTCCATGGGAAGGTAGAGCTTTTTATTTATTTATTTTTAAGGATGTAAAGAAGTGAGGAGAGGAAACACACTGTGAACTAGTCTTCTCCATCAGGTGATCCTCAGGGTTTATTTGTCAATGACTGGAGAAATTTCAGTCCAGACTTTGTTGCTGGCATCTGGGGGGAGAGGACATATAATAGATGCTGCTAAGCATCCTGTCTGCAGAGGACAGCCTCCCACAGACTGCCAGCCCCAAATGCAGGTGGCACTGCGGTTGAGGAACCTGCTGTATGGTTATTTCCAGCTCCCAGCCAGCACCCTGAGGACCTCCAGGACTGGGAAGGCAGACGGCTAGACCAGAAAAGCTGTCTCACCCTCTCACCACAGGAAACTCCTGCTCCAAGCAGCCAATAAACATAAAACCACGATGGTTTCTCCTGTTCTTGCCAAAGAAAGCCCTGAGACTGTTAAGGATAAATCCCATTTTGTTTCAGTTCATTTTTATCTCTAATGATCGAGGGCTCTAACTGCCTTCAGGGTTTGGATGCCAGGCACCAAGAGGAAAGCCTGTGTCTGCTGGCAGAGAGGGTGGCAGCTGGCCCTCATCCTGTGAAAGCTCATGTCATGGTAACATTGTCTCCCAGAGCAGGTCGTTTGACTTGGGAAACTCTGAACCCTTAGGGCGGTAGGCTCGGGCTCGAGGGCTATTAGTCTCTATAGTCCAAGTGAAGTCAAAGAATAAAGAGTTCCAAAGCCTCCAGCTGGCTGCTTTCCTGGAACCCACTGGCATGTATGGCAAATCTGTGTGTTGCTGTGATCAAAATGGACTTAATAGCCTAGATCTCAACATTCAGGTTAAATCGGAAGTGTGTGTGTAAATTAATATTTCCAGTACAGTAATTAAGATCATGAACTGTGAAAATAAACAGCCATGACCATGGGCAAGTTACATTTTTTTCTCACCTGCTTCCTGGTCTGTAAAATGGGGATAATAACTATTCCTACTTCACGCGATTAAGGGAGCCATGTGCACACAGTGTTCTGCATGATGGACAGTTCCATCCAGTGCTCGCTAAGTGATGGTCTCTTATATTCCCATTTCACAAATGCATGCTGGTCATGCTTAGGAAGAGGCATCACTTCACGAAGTCCTGTCTTTATGTTAATTCAGCACGGTGGCATTTTAGTCACCATCTTTTCTTGAAACTGCTTCTAACCATTTACCCTGGATATAGCGAATGCCATATTCAGGAATATATGCATGTTCATTTTAGGAATCTTGGAAACTAAAAAAAAAAAATGCATCTGTACATTAAAATCACCCATAACACTGTTGCTCAAAGATTCTCATTGCTTTTTAAGGTGACATATGCACCTCTTTCCAGGCTTAACCCCTTATTAAAGAGAAACTGACATACTATGTATTTTATGAAACTAAAATATTGTGGAACTGTTTTATCAACAGCTTGTTTCAACTATTATCTGATGAAACTTACCACACACTCCTGGACATTATTGTTAGCAGCCACATGGATTCAGGGAGGATCACTGCCGTTTATCTATGTCCCACTTTGGTGGATAGACAGGGCTCTGAGTGCTTCCCTTCCTCAGCCCAGGAAGCATAGACCCAGCCCCTGCTCTTGACAGCCTCTGTCGGCCCGTGAAGCACATTTGTCCGGAACATAATCTGTCACACCTAGTGCCTTTCCCATGGCAAGGGTTCTGATTGCTGTTACTCGCTTTCCTCTGAAATCGTATGTCAGTGGCAATTTCTACAGTATTTTCAAAAGCTGAGGAACAGCAAAGATTTTAAAATAGGCATTTATTGGATTAAGATTCCAAACATGAAAACAGATTATTTTAAATGGGACATAAATTCTGCAGTACAATCTTAGCAACTTATTTAAAAGTGTGATTTATAATATTTGGAGAAAATTTTAAGTAGTGAATTTTAGTTTTAAAATGATATTCTATTGGCTAGTTACTGAAAATAGCAAAAAGCATACTCAACAAGTTAAATTTTGGGGTACTCATTGTAAATATTGTAAAAAGCAGTATACCTTGGACTTGTGTCTAGTATGATACTGGAGGAATATGTCTTTATAGTTTAACTAGAGGCCCAGTGCACAAAATTCATATGGGAGGGAGGTGTCCTTCAGCCCAGCCTGCACCCTCTCCAATCTGGGACTCCTCCAGGGATGTCTGACTGCCTGTTTACCAGGATCAGGCCTAAACAGGCAGTTGGACATCCCTCTCACAATCCAGGACTTCTGACTCCCAACCACTTACCTGCCTGTGTGCCTAATTGCCACTAACTGCTTCTGCCTGCCAGCCTGATCACCCCCTAAAGACTCCCCTGCCAGCCTAATCAATGCCTAACTGCTCCCCTGTTGGCCCAATTGCCCCTAACTGCCCTTCCCTGCCAGTCTGGTCTCCCTTAACTGCCCTCCCCGTTAGGCCTAGGTTCCCTCTAACTGCCCTTCCCTGTAGGCCTGATTGTCCCCAACTGCCCTCCCTTGTAGGCCTGGTCCCTCCCAAATGCCTCCCTTGCTGACCATCTTGTGGTGGCCATCTTATGTCCACATGGGAGTGGGCATCTTGTGTGTTGGAGTGACAGTCAATTTGTGTATTACCTCTTTATTATATAGAATTCACACCCTGTTGTGTTTTAATTATTCTGTAACCCAAAATGGGGGTGGGGACACACTTTACTCAATATCTTTGGTTGAGACCAGCTCAAACTATAATGTACAGCCTTGTATTAATCTCCAATTACAGGTGACCCCTGAACAATGCTGGAGTTAGGGGTGCCACCCCCACCTTCCCACCTCAGCCTGAAGTAGCTGAAAATCTGAGTATAACTTCTGACTCTACAGTGTGCCCTTCACTACTGTGGATTCAACCAACCAAGAACTAAATGCTGTATTTTAAATTCATGGTTGCAAACCATGGTTGGAAATGCAAAACTACTCTCCGATCTGTGGTTGGTTGAATCCACAGATATGATATGTGATGCCTACAGATATGAAAGGTTCATGTACAAGTGGACACAC